TGTAGATTATTTGGGTGGCCATTATCTGTTTCATTCTTAGGTATTTTCCCAACAGACTCGTTTCTAATACTTGTAACCAAAGCCGCGGCAAATGATGCATCATTAAAATCTTTCCTTGCTCCACTTTCTTTATAACTCCTTAGCGTTCTCAAGGCATTCAAAGTGGTTTTATATTTACTAGACAAAGGCTAGGTAGTAATTAAAATATAAAAATGTGTCGGTGTTTAATTGGACAAGCTTTGTATAAAAATAAGACCTAAAACATGTAGGGCATTTAGCCCGAGGATGTGGGTTGTGGTTAAAATTACTGGACGTATTTTACTTTTGGGTATACCAGGTCCGTTGATTAGAGTTACCTAAATATTTTTGGTATAATATGGCAGACTTGTAAAGTGCGTTTTATCAAGATTGCTCCGGTAAAGAGACAGACCTAACCAATTTTATGTAGATGTTATACATACATTATGAGCTTTAACGCATTGTTGTGGCGGGTAGATTAAGTTTAATTCATGCAAAATACTTTGAATCAGTTGAATCTGGTTAAGACTCAGATCTCTAACCTAGATAGGCCCAGAAAAAGTCAGGAGCAAGGACAAAAATAGCAAAGAAGTGACTAAAAATACATGCCCGAACGAAGACAAAAAATGTGAAAATCAAATACGAAAATAATATCAGCAGTGTATGAATTTAATAAGAGACGCTAGACAGGGTGACGCTTCTGAAGTCCTCGTACATAATAATAACGGCTTACAAACGAGTATTATATTTGTAACTTTATTCACACAATCGCAATAAAGAGATACCTACGTGTGTCTGATTTATTATATTTCGACGCGCCCCGCCATTATGTGATTCTCATAAGTACTACACAGCACTCTTGAGGATAAATCGTAGTTTGGGTATTCAGAACTTTGTAATGTCATTTATTCTGATACTCAATGTACCAACAGCTTATTTACTTTGGTACTTTAGTTAAAAGTTTTCATGAATTTGCTCTTTATGTTTGTTAATTAATGTGTGTGACTAGGTTTTCCCTAGGGTTAAGTTTATGTTTTTTGTCATTAACCGACTTGCTTGATAATGTTAATATTAGGTACCTATACAAGTTATTATGGTTTGAAAGTAAAAAAAAAGTTGACTGCACGGTTGGAGTGCAACCGAACGTGGGTTCAGCGAGTTCGATTCCCGCACGGAACAACTCTTTGTGTGATCGAAAAATGTTTGTTTCGGGCTAGATGTCATGTCCTGTGTAATGTGAACTTGTAGATGTTTGAGTTTACAAGCATACAAGTTTACGATACAGGAGAAAATCCTAGTGTGGGGTAATGTTTATCTTTAACCAAAAAAAATAAAATAAAAAATAAACTGCACGAGCGACATTACGTATTTGATGTCTTTGCATTGTTCTTACATATGCGTACAGTATTGAAATTTATGTATCAGAGACATTGTAGAAAATACTTTTTTAAAAGAGTAACGAATGGAGTTTCTTGCTCGTTCTTCTCCATTCGAATCTACGTTTTGGAATGAGCACCTAGCTTCACCTAGCTTCACTGACGGACTGACTGACAGACTATTATTTATTTTGTATTTGTTGACGTTTCAAAAGTACCAAACTATGGTTCAATTGAAATAAATGCTTTGACTTTGACTTTGACTTTGATTGTAAAGGGAACTTCTAAAGAAATCTGGCTGCTGTTGACATGTTTATTTTCATATATTTTTTACATCATGTTATTAAGTGATATCATTTTCAGTAAGTAAACATCTGTGGACAGATTATTTGCCATGCATGTCATATTTAAGTAGTTAGTTTTATAAATAAATACCAATGCACATAGGTATATGTGTATGCAGTATTCTGTACATAGTTTGGTAACAGCGCTATATTAACTGTCTGTCGTTCGTCGGCGTTTTAGTAAATTACAAAATGGATGGAAAAAAGGACTTAAATCAACAATGAATTGTTGGTTTATCATTTATTCACTTTGTTAAAATTACGGCGGCCAAACGTGGCGATGTGCGTGATCGACGGGACCATACTACTAAGCTTTGATTTATAAATGGAACCCATTACTTTCGACCTTAAAATCACTCACCCTTATAGTCTATTAATTCTATCTACCGTACATCCGGAGGTTTCCAATTTATCAAGCTTTGGGATAGTTTTCACGAAATAAATAACATGGTGGTATTTTCTACCTGCATACCAATACTTACTGTCTTGCGTTTGTGTTCAACTAAGCACTGAATGCACGTACCTAGTATAGTGGTCCTAACATCTACAGAGCCCCATTTAGGTATCCTACTAATATTATAAATTGTAAAATAAATGTGTGTGTTTATTACTCCTTCACGTCAAAATGGCTGAAAAGATCGAGATGAAATTTGGAACAGGGATAGATTATGGTCTGGAAAAACACATAAGCTTGTTATCCTGCGGGACCGCAAGTGAAGTCACTGGCAGAATCTAGTGTTCAATACACAAGAAAGGATACTGTGTGGAAGAAATGACAACGGATTGTAAAACTTGTCACTACATGTCACTGATAACTGGTGCCAGTAGAACAAATAAGTATACAAAGTCTTAGAAACAAATTTATAAGGCATCAAAATAATCGTTGCCCTCGTTGGCCGAGTGGACGAGTGGTCGCAATTGCGACTGCCGGGCAAGGGGTCTCGGGTTCGATTCCCGGGTCGGGCAAAGTATTACTAGGTTTTTTAAAAATTCTCAGTAGTCGCATGGAGTCTGGAACTGTGCCCGGTATATGGCAATAGGCTCACCCCCTATTACATGGGACTCATAACATAAATAGTGAAAAGTGGGTGTTACATTGTACAGTGGTATAATGTGCACCTCTGCCTGCCCCTCCGAGGATAAAAGGCGTGATATTATGTTATGTTATGTCAAAATAATCGTCCTGGAAAACACAAATGAAGCAGATCGTTCAGAATAACTGCCCTGTAATCAGCAGAACTCCAAACAATTTCAATGGTATTTGGTTTCGGAAATGATAAGCCAAGAATGGCCTAATTGGCGACCGAGAAATATAATAGCCAAGTTCCTAAATAGCTTAATGACGAAGCGTTTTGCGAAGCTATTATATCGATTCTTCGTATATTTTAAGAAGGGATCAGATTAAGAGTACTTATCCGTAACCAGTGAACGGGAATGAAAAGACTGACGTCGAATATGAAACGAAGGATTGTACCTACACAGTTTGATCATGATTGGGGTTTTGACATTCCATTATTATAGTCTATTCCTACGGGAGATTGGTAAAATGACTTTGTACGATACCTATAATGCAATTATCCACCGTATCACTTCATCCACAACTAACAAATATTGCTGAGCTGCCAAAATTTCAATATCAGGAAGACTCTTAAATTGTACCATGTTTTTGTTGTTGTTTGAAAACAATACTTAACATTTAAGTGACAACAGACATTAGATTGAAATCTGATTATCACTTAGTGATATAATGACGGGTTATTTTATGAAATTCGCCATAATGCGGTGGTAACCCTAATACTCTGCGGTTCCTCTCGCGTCATCGCCGACACGAATTCGATCGATTTTGTCGCTTTGAAAACTGGCCTTCCGATGGAAATCAATCAGAGTTACAAATGTGGTTAGTTGCGAACCCTAACATTCGTACAATAATCATTCCCTATTCCGTTAACGAGAGAAGTGTCGAAACCACAGATATAGGACTATCTATATCTATGGTCGAAACTCCTAACCTAAACAGCATTTAGGAGTTTTTGATCACCTATCGACCTTCTTTTCTACATTCTTCCTTTTGACAGTTAAAGTGAAGAAAATATTATCTACGCCATTTTCTAGTTCCAGTGATCCCTAAGAACTAACAAACACATGGCCCTAAGTTAGATCCCTTCATATTTTACTACGGTGAAGGTATCTACAAAGTTTAACTAATAAAAATATATGATACATTTAGGTAGCCTTGAGAAATCGAATATTAATGATCAGAATAAAAACTTACAGCCTTAATCTTAGGTCAGCACTTTCTTAAAGATTTTTTGCGTACAACTTAATATATTTTATTCATGTTCTATAAGAATTTACATTTCTTATGTCTAAGTTCTTTGGTCGTCTAAAAGAAATGCCAACGATAAATCAAGAAGATAAAACCACTTTGTTCTCTTAAAGAAAAATAGTGTTTTAGTAACATGGGAGCTTATGGCGCGGATACAATATACGGCAAAAAGGGACCTAAAAGATTCCAGATAGAAAGAAATTCAGTGTATCTTTTTATCTGTTAACGATAGCACATATATTTTTATGTTTCGTGGGACAATTATTGTAATTACACATACATACGTACAAGTCATTCGCTTTTGTAAATAATCGTGATTACTGACCCACAATAAAAATCTTACTACTATCAAACATGCACATTACAACTCGGTCAATTTTTATATCTTTCACCCTTATAAAAATTTTATTCACAGAAAGTCATCAAAAACAGTGGAAAGACCATTTCCTTAAATAAATAAAGACACCTTTAACCGTATCCCGTAGTGCATTACCCCTGAAAAGGGAAGGGCGATGGTGACCCTGAGCCGTCAGAAGGGTGGAAAGGAAATTTATAACGCAGCCGGGCCGCGAATTCATATTCTTGTTTTTTATGAAAAAAGCCCCATTGCCAACCATAACTGGATATGTCTTATCCTATATTTTCATTTCAAAACATGGTTGGTAAGCCTACCTATATGAATATGGATACTAAAAATATATCCTTTTCTTTAGTAGTATGTACTACAATAAAGTAATTCAAGCCTGAGTTTAGTTATATAAATATTGCGTGTACGTTTTTTCTGAAGACCCATAGGTTCGGACACGAATCAAAACGTACCTACAGTTTTCATACCAAGATAGTTATGTAACCAGAAGTCAGAAGTAGGTAAAAATCTGCTGACAAAAATCTTCTGCTGAAAACTTCGTAAGCTTAGTCGACAAAAGTACTACTTACCAATGTATGAGAACGTTTCCGTCTCTGAGTCGCGCGGCGTGAATGAAATCGTTGCACAAACTGAAGTACTGCGTCAGATTCTGCTCTGGTGAGTCCGACGCCATGATGCAGAGGTAGTGCTTGTCCTGTAGACAACGAAAATTGATGTTAATGATAAAAATGTGTTAATAAATGGGCCTAGTAAACGAGGATCGAAACATAGATACTTTCAGGATAAAAAGTAATTATAAACACTATATTAATAATCCAAGAGTTATCATAAACAAAGTTACGCAAGTGGTACCTATGCCCATAGGTAGCAAAGTTCAAATCTACATAGTTAAAATACAGAACAAGGCTTTCATAAACACTAAAATAATCATTCAAACACGTAAGAAACCAATGACAACATTCCATAGACTTCCTTACAAAGCTACAATAGAACGGACGGTAATGTATACTTCATACAATGCCACAGTAACAATTCAAATCCTAAATCTGTTCAAACAACCCGTAAACAAACCCAAAGTTGTGGAAACATTAATATAATCTGCTTTACAAACGTACCCCTTGTAAGCCAATCAAAATAGTCGATTTTAACTTCTCACCAAGTTATAACAAATACTAAAGCAGTTACATTAATTATTAATATTGACCAAAGTTTTGTTTTGGCTGTGAACGGGCTGTAGTTTGTGATAGAATAGGTTATTTGCGTGGTAAAACTAATTGTGTCTATAATCAAGTACCTTCTCATTCCTCGAAGAGGTTGCTTACGCTATTATTTCAAATGCTGAATACAATTATAGACTTAGTTAATTTTAACACATTAATGCCGGAATACTGAAACGTTACTCAATTTTAAGTCGTGTTTAAATATCGTGCCATCTCTGTCATTTTACAAAGAATTTGTGGAGACAAAACTATACTTAAGCACGACTTAAAATTGAGTAGCGTTTGAGTATTCCGACATAGATGCCATGGGGATAACCGGTGACCGACGTTAGCGGAGGATTTGTCTTCAACAGTTTTCTGTTGGCAATCAAACCCTTAAGTTTATTCATAATTATGTATGTATTGAATTTACTACTTTGTAATAGATAAAGATATTAAAACATGAGTACAGAGGTCTAATAAAAAATTAGCGAGCTACATTTGACGCGTACAAAGTTTAAACATCAAAATAGGGATGTTAAAAATGAAAAAATAAATTACGATATCAAGATTATTACGATATGGAATCACTTTAATAATTTTTCCAACTTAGTTCCGATTTTTCAATCGCCAGATAAATTTTCACTGAGGAATAACTTTGAATATACCTACTTAAGACAATTCTTCCATATTAAAAACTTTCATATAACTATATGTCAACTTTGTTCTACAGTTAAGAATTAACTTATAATTGAAAAAAAGGGCCCTTAGAAAACAAATTCGGTACAAAGCAGTTGATGTGCCGTAGTAAAGCATTTCCTTTAGATCCGTCTAATTGGGATGATGACGGGGTATGACAATTAACTCGTCGAGTACCGGTTTTGTAGACACAATTATAGAACAATAGGTTGCGGTCACCGGTGACCGCTTGGTGTTTGACAGTTTAAAAGTACCTTATTCCGTAAGTACGGTAATTAAAAAATATTAGACACGTATTTTTTTATCTTGTCGTATAATAAAACAATACTTAGATAAAACAGATCAAAGTTTAGGAGTGACGTTTCAGCTGAAACGTCATTTCTAAGTATTAAATGTACTTCGGAGTCGCGGAGAACCTAACGGGTAACCGGGGCTCCGGCTCGACGTGCAGGAGAAGGAACGGGGTGGTTTTTAGTCAGTAAGAGTCTGACACTCCCTCCCGCTTCACCCAGGCGGGAGCAGTCATTCGATGATTTTCCCCCCTTAAAAAAAAAAAAAAAGTATTAAATGTACATAGAAGTGACGTCACGCGACATTTCAAATCAATATATCGTCGAAAGTATTCGTTTCTGTAAGAAAATATGTGTCTAATGAATTAAAAATACGGACGGACATTAAAATAAAAATTAGGCGTCTACTCTCTTATAATAACCAACGAAGAAACATTAACAATTTCGTACTTACACAAAAATACACAATCTTGGCGCGATATTTGATCCTTAGATTCAAGTGCCAAGTTAGCAACGAAGGTTAACGAAAACTTAATAAATAAAAGTTAAATCGTGTAGAATTGGACAGATAAATGAAAACTTAGCTCCTATTTACTTCACCGGGCTTAACTTAAGCTATTGTCGTCTTGTGGCTTCGGATCTAAAACTTGAACACTACAATATTGTCGCTTCGAAACTTTTCTCTATCTATAGAATGGTGAAATAAAAATGTTAATCTTTTCTTGCACGTTTTTAGTTGTTCATTTATTTCACGAGAAAAGAATAAAAAAAATAGGTCTAACAACTTTGTCGACTTGAAAAGAAACCAAAATATGTGTAACACTTTAAATTAATAGGTTACGTTCCAACTAGTCAAATTTAATTATTTTTATCAATAGTTTACCAGTACTACAAACTCATCTCAAAAGCATTTATTTCAATTAAACCCTAATTTGGTACTTTTGAAACGTCAATAAATATAAAATAAGCCTGGGTGAGGCGGGAGGGAGTGTCAGACTCTTACTGACTAAAAACCACCCCCTTCCTACTACTGGCCTTCAAGCTGGAGCCCCGGCAACCCGTTAAGTCCTCCGCGGCCCGTCAGTGAAGCTAGGTGCTCGTTCCAAAATGTAGATTCGAGTGGAGACGAACGAGAATGAAACTCCATCGTTACTCTTTTAAAAAAAGTACCATACTCAGTTTAAGTATGCCATTGAACTTAGTGATCAATTTGTGACGTCATGTTTTTTGCATGAAATATCATAATAGTCCAATGTTTCTTATGTTAGCCAGAAAAATATTAAATACAAGCTTAAAATAAAATCAGACAATAAGATTGTCTAATAAAATGAAACTGTCTATCAGCTATAAATCTCAAGATTACTATGCCAAAAACGAAAGACAGAAGGATAACACTAATTTAATACATATAGGTAACACGTTATTTGTACACAAACCAATTTTCTTAATATAAATTCCACATACGTAAACAATTATGTACCTACTACAATTTGTTTATAATTGGCTGGTATTAGCTATCTAGACCCAACTTTATCTCAGTATTTCGTGTGATATCTCTGCTGCAATCTAAGCCAGACTCACTCCCAGAGGGGAAACTGCGAACTCAACTTCGTACATAACTATAAGAGGTGAGGAGGTATATTCCTCTGAGGGAAATAAGTGGCTAGCGATGATATAATATGTACTGCCTACTATGTATTTATTGCTAGAGGTCTCTGCCTTCGCAACGGTTTGTTGATGTTAACGCAACGATGTCAAGATTCGTCTGATAAATTTCTTGTGTTTATTAGAAGTGAGAAAACTAATTCATTTTGTCGTTTTTGTAAATTATTTTTCTGCGTCCCAAGGACAATAATAACTTTTGACGGGTTCTGAATTAAGCAGCCATTGCCAGTTGTTATCGAAAGAAAAACCAGAAATATTATTGCATTATTACTTTTCTACACTAACTTATTACCAACTTATCGCCGTTGCAAAAAATTCAAAACGTACGAATTAGTTTTTAAACAAACAAAAACTAGAAATATCTTTCAAGTGACGTAATAACTTAAATATAAACATAGTACCTATATCAACATTACTCAGTATGATAAAATGAGTATTCGCGTGAAAATGAAGGCAGTTACTATAGTGTACCCACATTAGCGGGCCAAACTAAATAAATAATGACTGTATCGGTGATCGAGCGGTTGTAAGAATTACTCATGACCTCGTGTGTTCCAGGACTTATGTGCAATCATAGGACAAAAGTCAACGCGGTGGCAGAGATACTTCTATTACAAAAAAATGAAACCCGTGTCCCATTGCCACGCCATAACTTGAGAAGGGCTAGACCGATTTGGCTGATTTTTATTGTATTTATTGTTGTCTGAAGAAGGTCCTTATGACAAAAAAATCATCCTGAAAATCCTACGGGGATGGGAGAAACCGCGATTGCGCGTAAGAAGTGGCGAGCTGAGGCTAGTTGTTATTAAAAAAATGTGCATTTAATTGCGTACTAAAAACTGGTTACTTCGCCGTGGTGTCACTTTTGTGTGACGCGCATGAATATAGGTTTAGTTTAGTAGGTCAGTAAGTATATCTATCAAATGGTCTAATTTATGCAAGTAAACTTTATCGATGTAATTTGTAGCTCCATTGATTTTTTGCCGTAAACAACTGTTTTAGTAGATGAATAAGCGCCATGTCTGAGCTAGGGAGCTAGGGGTTATGATTTCGAATCCTAGGTCACTGTCAGACAAATTGTTACGTATTCGGATCTTTGGTATTTGCTTTTTCATAAGTAATAAAGGCATGTACATGACATATAAAAATAAAATTCAGTGCAACATGTAGACTAGTAGATTGTACCGAACAAAGACTAAAAAATGGTTGGGGTCAAATTTTCTAATCAGTGGGGTGGAGGATATCTAAGCCTCCGTGTAACATGTCCCGAAAGTCCTGGGACCGTACACGATACAATATTAAAACTAATACACATAATGAAACACTCGAATCGTCATTGTCGGAGCACACAAATTCTGCCTATGCTAATTATTATTGAGTAAACATACCTATAGATACTAACTTAAAACCGCGGGGCAGTTTTGAACAGCCTTACCCCCCTACTGTCTTCCTGATTAGAAACGGACCCACAATATATTAAAAAAATGACATCTACATACTATTTAACTTGAAAACTTTGCTAGCGCGATTTAGGCTCTTGTTCGAATTTCAAATTCGAAACTGGAGTTGATTATTTTTTTAATTGAGAAGGGTTTTATTTGAGGCTCAGTTTTTTCGGGTCTAATTCTGTTTATTATTTGCTTTATAGAACTCAATATACTTATTTTACAACAATTGGAAGTAATATTGTAGTCGTACGTATTTATTGTATTTAGTAATGTTATTATAAATCATCTACATATCAAGAAAATATTGGCATCAAATAAATTACTTGTCATCGCATTTAGAAACACCTCTCATGATCTCAACATAAATAAGTACGACAAAACATAAAAAATAAC